GTGGAGACGATGACCGCTCACTTGGTGTGAGCAAAGAGGTGAGTAGTGGATGCAAGTGCGAGACATTTGAGCGTCGACCAATGGCACACCATTGAATGAGACAGTGATCAATGGTGTGCTGCCTCTATCGCCTCTCCTCCTTCCACAGATCGGTGACTTCGGTCTGAGTCGTGCCGATGGCTCGCACTTCACCTGTGGTCGAATATCAACGCGATGGACGGCGCCGGAGGTGTTGGAGAGTGAGGCAAACTTTACACTGCGCTCGGATGTGTGGTCCTTTGGTGTGGTGGTGTGGGAGATCTACAGTCTCGGCAGTCTGCCCTACAGTGAGGTGCCAAATCAAGAGTTGCTGACTTACCTTCGTAGTGGTCGTCGATTGGATCCACCATGTGACACGCCAAAGAGGATGGTCAGTCTCATGGATGAGTGTTGGCAGATGTCGGCTTCACTTCGTCCATCGTTCGCGGAAATCGATTCCTACATGCATGGATTCCCCATGCATACACTTCCCCTTATGTCGCCTCTTCTGCCCGCGAAACATGTTTCCTCCGTTTTTTGAACGCTACCGATTTTTGAATGAGCAATCGTTGTTGTTCAGCACCATGAAATCGTACCTAAAATGTCCTTTTCGATATCCATAATACGGCCGCATTATATGTACAACTACATGGTAGAAACAAGTCAAGTCTGTCCTACGAGAACGTGTTCTACGGTGTAGCACTATTCAACGTATGGACATGAATTTTGCCGAACTGTATAGTAGGGTGGATAATTAAGCTTTATTGTGAAATTCGTAACACACATTTCCTCGCCATTATTTAGACGTGGCTCACCATGAGTACCCTCGTTGTCTTGCCTTTCTTTGTATGCAAACATTCTCCTATTTACATATGCTTAGCAAAGGTTATTGTTTTTTGCACATGCGGTGTCGCTATCTTTCTTCACGGTCATTAAATACCAAACTACTTGAGCAGGTTACATATATCAAGCCAAAAGGGAGACAAATCCATTTTTCTCATGTTCTGTCGCATATAAAAATTATCATGTAAACATACAAAGAGCTGCAGATCTAATGTTAACAGAGACCTTTCTTTTTTATGATAAGCTAAATTAGTCGATTTAGGTTTTCTACCCATTTACCAAGTCTGTGTGCGATCGACTTGCTTAATGTATTTGGTTCTTTCTCGTAGTTCGTATGCACTCACAAATTGGGAGAGAAGAAGTATGCAAAGGAGACGGTATGCCGAAAGACAGCTACGGTTGCTTGCACCAACGTGCAATCAGTGCTGCCCATGATAAGCA